TGCTTCTCCCTCTCCCACTCCCCCTGCTTGTGTTCCCTCTCTCGCTGTGTCTCTCTCTGTCAAATAAATAAATAAAATCTTTTAAAAAAAAATTTTTTTTAAAAACGTTTGGATTGCGGGATCGTACCTGAAGTCTACCAAATCATACACTATCATAGCTAATATCATATCTGTCCAGGACCCAAGGCCGTATACCCAGTTGGAGGTAGGGAGAGCATGATGGAATGTTGCCTGTCGCCTACCCCCACCCCTACCCACACCCCCAGCACACACACAACCAGCTTCCATAAAGGCTGCCTTCTTACCATACAGGTAGGAATGTCATCTAGCTCAGAGTCCCTCCCTGGGGATTTTCTGCTGTAGCCATAGGGAAGAGTTTTCTTTGTGCTTCCAGTCATAGAGCTAGGAAAATGTGACTCTGGGTGGCAGGCACTGTGCTCCCCCGCACCCGTGGAGAGCCTGTCTTCTGTAGGGGCTGGCGTGGGAAGAGAGGGACATTCAGAGAAAGAGAGAAAGAGAGAGAGAGAGAGAGAACAACCAGCCATCCCCAAGGTCCACGCCAGGCTTGCCCTTTGAGAAATTTGATGAAATGAGATAAAGAATTCCCCTCTTTTCCTTAAGCTACTTTACAAGAGGTTTCTGTCACTCGTAAATGCTGTGTGTGGTGTATACATTATGTGGTTTATACACATTTTAACGAATTATATAATGTTATGCAGCACTTTTTATATGAAAAGATAAATAAGTGTGGAAATACTCCTTATACCCTGACCCAGTGGTGTAATATCATATAGAACTTAGCTTGGGAATACTTCTCCCTACGGTAGGACGCCTTCTCGCCTGACATGGTCCGTGTGTTTCCCACACCAACAGAAAGCGTGGGGAGGATTTCACGGGTTTCTCAGCCAGCACAACTGAGTGGAAACCACTTCTGTGTAGACAAGGCTCTTGAGGAGTAATACAATCTTGCATCTTCCAAGACAAAACTGGATGGGAAATTGAGGGCCACCACCAAAGACGGATTGAGAAAGTCATCTATGAGATTAGAGACACAAAGCCATGTTTTTGATTATTTAAGGGGATTTAAGAGATTTTCAACAGGGGTCTTGTTTGTTCTGACTTTTGCTTTACTTGTTGACTTCACATTCAATATGATCAGCCTCCATAGTATGTAAAGGGTTGTCTCTTAATATTATCTGTCCAATGCTAGTGGCTTTTCAAGAATGTAACAAGCCACTTCTCAGCCCATCTCCCTCCTTCAGAATAATCTTCTGCCCCATGTTTCTCCATATCTTTGTGTTCACTTGTCTTCTATAATGAATACAGGTCCATCACTCATTAAGCCATTTGCTAAGCACCTGCTGGATGACAGGCCTTGCGCTGAGTTCTGTGACACCCACATGGATCAAAGGTAGCTCCTGCCTTCAAGAAGGTTATAACTTCCGGATGTGAGGGCGATCTGGCTGCGACATCTGTCACCCCATTGATCGCCAGGGTTGATTCGGCTGATCTGGCTGGCTAGGCGGGTGTCCCCTTCCTCCCTCACCGCTCCATGTGCGTCCCTCCCGAAGCTGTGCGTCCCTCCCGAAGCTGCGCGCTGGGTCGAAGAGGACGACCTTCCCCGATAGAGGAGGACCGTTCTTCGGTCAAGGGTATACGAGTAGCTGCACTTCCCTGCTAGAACCTCCAAACAAGCTCTCTCAAGAAGGTTATAACTTCCTGTCTTCTGAGAGGCAGACAAGGAAATAGACAGGGTATCATGTGCTGTGACAGAGGGATTGATAAAGGGTGGTCCAGGCACAGAGGAGGGGTCCACTAGCATTAGCAGCAGGTCGGGGTGGGGGTGGGGTCACAGCAGGGCAACTTGGATCCAGGCTTTGACGTACATGTAGGAGTTTACCAAGGAGAGAGAGAAGAAGAGCATCCTAAGTGCATTCAAATATTTCCCAATTCAACTTCAAAATTTGTGGCCCCAAACACGTACTTCACAGTAAAGGATCTTTTTCTTTTTTTTATAAAAAAAAATTGGAGGAGGGAAGAATTTATATTCTACTCGGAGAACTGTCTGGGGCCTTTTCCTAACCTACACAACTGCCTCCTGAGGAAAGGAGAATCTGGTAAAATATCTTATGTCTAAAAGCCACAAAAATATACAGAGCAGGAGCAAAGTTCGACATATAAATACATTATATAAATGCATTCACAGCTCAATTTCCTCACCCTCTGACTGCCAGTAATTTATTCAGACAGCCTCAGCTGAAACCATTTCTCACTTGATATAATAATCTGGAAAGGTGTGTTATAATTTTCTTCATTCTGCAGGACTTTATTTTTTCCTTGCCAAGAAAGCATTATATCCTTTAGCTTCTGGCTTCTCCGGCTTGAGGTAGGTGGGAAATAGACCCAATTCTCTCTGGCAGGAAAATCAAGTGATTTCTGTGCTTGTAGATGTTTTCTTTCAGTTTAGTTTTGAATGATGTGTCCAGTGCCTTAGAGCTCATATGAGGCTTTCATCCTTCATTTACAATGACCCAGGGAGATGGACCTATGATTCACCTTCTTTTGTAGGTGAGGGAACTGAAGCTCAGGAAGGGAGGAAGAACAGAAGGAAGAAGGGGAGAGAAAAATAAAGATCAGATGGGCACTTGCTTTTGCAGGTACTTTTCACACGTAAGACCTGATAAGTCCTCCAAACAATCTTTAAAAAGCAGGTATTACGGGCCCATTTTACAGCTGAGTAAACTGAGACGTGAAATGAACCATTAGAAATCAGCAAGGTCCCCATGTGACCCCAGGTCCCTCGCCAAGCCCCTGTTAGCCGGAGCCAAATCTCAAGACTCTTTGTCACTATCACACTGCCTCCACAGGACTGTCCTGAAGACCTACTAGGTGCCTATCTTCAGTTGGGGGAGATGAAGAAGGTGAGAAATGGATCCTCCCCTTCTGAACTCCGATCTTGATGAGGTGCAAGGACAAAGAGAGACATTTCAGAAGGAGGACAGGGCCTGACTGAAAACTGCCACCTCTGTGAAGTCCTAATGCATGCCAGATGCTCACTGAGGGAAGCATTTGGTCAATTCTCCTTTTTTTTTTTTTTAAGATTTTGTTTATTTGTTTGTCCGAGAGAGAGAGAGAGAGAGAGAGCGTGCACAAGCAGAGGGAGGGGAGTGGGAGAGGGAGAAGCAGGCTTCCCGCTGAGCAGGGAGCCCGATGCGGGGCTCGATCCCAGGACCCTGGGATCATGACCTGAGCTGAAGGCAGATGCTTAACGACTGAGCCACCCAGACACCCCTGGTCAATTCTCCTGACAGTCTGGGAGGTAGATGTGAATATTATCCGAGATTTTTTTTTTAAAGATTTATTTATTTATTTGAGAGAGAGAGCAAGCAGGGGGAGGGACAGAGAGGGAAGAAGAGAAAGAATCCACAAGCCAACTCCCTGCTGATCCCATGACCCTGAGATCATGACCTGAGCCTAAACCAAGGCTCGGCCACTTAACCGACTGAACCACCCAGGTGCCCCATTATCTGAGGTTTATTGCCCAAAGCCCAGTGCCTTGAAATCTGCAGCAGATTTCATCACAGGCTGCTCGATTCCAAAGTGCAGGGGAAACTCACAGAGCTTGTTTTGCCTTGGAGTCACACTGCCCAGCTCCATGCCTGCTTCTGTCTCTTATTAGCTGCACATGCTTGGGCAAGTTACCTTTCCTCTCTGAGCCTCCATTTCCAAAGCTGTAAAATGAGTAATTAATTAACTAAAGGTGGTGTTGTAAGGATTAAATGTCAAACACCTTGTATTGGTAAGAGCCACCTTCTGCCTTCTGGTCATTCTGGGGGGCGTATCTGCATCCTGATTAGATACACTCCGAGAAGGAGGGAAAGAGACACACCTCGGATATTTGTCTTGGATTCTGGATCTGCTCTTTAGTAGCGGGCTGCCAGTTCCGCTGGAGGTAGGGAGAGCGTGATGGAATGTTGCCTGTCGCCTACCCCCCACCCCTACTCACACCCCCAGCACACACACAACCAGCTTCCACAAAGGCTGCCAAAGGAAAAGAACTTTTTCTTCCTCTCTCAGGATTTGGTAGGTCGGACCCTCAGGAAAGGTTTGTTGGCAGGTGGGGGAGACGAAAGTGTGTCTCAGTGAAATGTGCCTAAGAACCAAGCAGAAAGAGCTTTTCCCTATGATGCCATTTGCATTTGGGAGGCAAGCTCGTGCCTGGGCTACTTCTCTTAGGCATATTCCTCTTATTTATCCTCCTCATATATGTTATCCGAGGCAAGCAAAACAGAGTCACAGGACTATTCGATGGACTGTAATGAGGAACCCTATTGTCTGTAGGGAAGCTGGGAAGAATCCTGTGGGGCCAGATGGACCACCTGCTCCTCACCGGGCTGCACTGAAACCCAGCTCAGCCCCCTCGTAACAGTGTCACCCAGACCTGCCTCTTTCCCTGTCTAGGCCTCAGTTTACTCTTCTGCAATGTGGGAATAATAACTGTATCTGTTTCCTAGGGCTGCCATGTAACAAAGCACCACCAGCTAGGTGGCTTTCAGCAATAGACCTTTATTCTCTCAGTTCTGGAGGCCAGAAGTTCAAAGTCAAGGCATGGCAGGGCTACTTTCCCTCTGAAGGACTGAGGGGAGAACGTCTTTCCTTGCCTCTGTCCTACCTTCTGGTGTTGCTGGCAATTCCTGGAGTTCTCTGGCTTGTAGGTGGGTTCCTCCACCCTGCGCCTTGATGGACACACAACATTCTCCCTGTTGGAAGAGTAATGGGGCCCACCCTCATGGCTTCCCCT